TGCCCACCTTTTCCTGGTTTTATAACGGATATTGATGTTATGCTAATCAGTAGCTCTTTGCCATACCCGCTCCTTCACGGCTCCAGGCACTGCTTGTTGTGAGTGTGAGCCACTGTAAATTAGGGGCAGAGGGCACTTGCACTGCGGTAAAGATGGGGCTGGACAGGAGGAGAGTGCAGTGCAATCAGTGCACTCCCCTCCTGTGGGTCACCAGTAGACTGGTGCACCTGCCCAGGATCAGTGCCGGTGCAAGGATTTTTGCCGCCCTAGACAAAATAAAAATTTGCTGCCCCCCCATGTGACATCACAATGCCCCACCCATATGAACTAACGCCAGTGCTGCACACAGTGTGTGTTTACATTAAAAAGCCTGCAGGGACCAGCTATAGACACCAGAACCACTTCATTAAGCTATAGTGTCCCTTTAATGTGAGGTACATTATAGATTAGTGTCACTAATAATATACTAGATTGCCTACTTACAAGCAGATGAGGATGATGATGGGCTGCAGTTTGGCTCCACTGGTCTGGTGTAGAACAGGATCTCTGGAGGCTGTTTGCAACTGTGGTCACAAAATTCAATGTTCTGGGAGAATTGGAAGCAGCTCCATTTTTTGGGGCCCCTTACACAGCTCAAGGTCTGGGCCCCAGGGCCTGACGGTGAGTATGCCCATAAGGCCCACTCATAAGTTCCACCCACCCATGAGTTCGCTCACAGGGAGTGGAGTGTGTAGGGGATGTGTTATGTGTTATTGTAGAGGATCTAATATGTGTGCTTATGGTATGTAGTGTATAGGGTTACCAGTTTGTGCAGGTGATGTAGTGTGTTTGTGTGTAGTGGAAGCAGTGTGTATTTGTGTATAAGGGATGTATTATGTGTTTCTGGTTGTGTGTAAGGGATGCATTGTGTGAATCTGTGTTTGTATGCATAAGGGATGCAAGGTGTGTGTCTGTATGTGTGTGCATTGAGTGTAAGAGATGCATTGTGTTTCTGTGTGTATGTAAGAAAAGAAGTGTGTGTGTTTGCATATGTGTGTACGGGTTTGCATTGTCTGTTTCTGTGTATGTGTGCAAAGGATGCATTGTCTTTGTGTGTAAGGGTTGCATTGTGTGTGTGTGTGTAATGGATGCATTGTGTGTTTCTCTGTGTGTAAGGGAAGCATGTTGTGTTTCTGTGTATGTATAGGGATGCATTGTGTGTGTGTGTGTGTGTGCACGCGCGTAGTGTGAAAGAGCTCCCTGTCTTGGCCCCTGTCCTATAGAGCTGCCCCTTCTGTCCCGTAGAGCTCTCCCCTGCACCTTAGTGGTCTCTCCTCTCCCCCACCCTCCCCTAGCGGTCTCTTCTCACACTCACCCACCCTCCCTGTGCTCTTCTCACTCCTCCCTCTATGTGTTCTCCTCACACCCCCTGTGTTCGTCTTACCCCCCTCCTCCCTGTGTTCTTCATACTTCCCCCCTTGGTCGTCTTACTCCCCCACCTGTTCTTCTTAACCCCCCTTCTTCTTATTGCTCCCCCTTCTTCTTCTTACTCCCCCCATTTCTTCATACTCACCCTTCTTCTTACCCCCTCTTCTTCTTCTTACTCCCCACTCTTCTTCTTCTTACTCCCCACTCTTTTTCTTACTCACCCCTTCTTCTTCTTCTTACCCCCCTCTTTCTTATCTCCCCTCCTTCTTACTCCGCCCTCCCCCTTTTCTTATTCCCCCTCTCCCTCTTACTCCGCCCTCCCCCTTTTCTTATTCCCCCTCTCCCTCTTCTTACTCCCCCCTCTTCTTCTTCTTACTCCCCCCTCTTTTTCTTACTCCCTCCTCTTCTTCTTACTCCCTCCTCTTCTTCTTCTTACTCCCCCATCTTTTTCTTACTCACCCCTTCTTCTTCTTACCCCCCTCTTTTTCTTATCTCCCCTCCTTCTTACTCCCCCTCCCCTCTTCTTACTCCCCCCTCCCCTCTTCTTATTCCCCCTCCCCTCTTCTTATTCCCCCCTCCCCTCTTCTTATTCCCCCCTTTTTATCCCCCCCTCCCCTCTTCTTACCCCCCTCCCCTGTTCTTACCCCCCTCCCCTCTTCTTACCCCCTCCCCTCTTCTTACCCTCTCCCCTGTAGCGTGGCCGAGCTGCACTCCGATTTGCCGGTGGCCCGGCTTTCCACGACCGGGCTGATAGGAAGGTGCACTCGGTGTGCACTTCCTGTCAATCCCGGTGATGGCAGAAACATAGGGAAACTCAGCGAACAGAGTTTTCCTGTTTTCCTCTCTTCCGGCTGAACTGACAAGATGCACACTCGGGTATTGCACCTCACTCCGGCGAGCTGGCCCACCACCCATGAACAGTGCAGCTTCATTACCTTCACAGGGAAAAACTGCAACCCGCCCTGAGGGCTCTTAACAGGCTGCAATCAAAGAGCGACCCAGCGGCCGGCCGGCCCTCCACAGGGAGGCCCCAGGGGCGGCCCCTGGGGCAATTTATCCCTGCCCCGACCCCATCCCGCCCATAAAAATATCTAGGCAGTTAGGACCAACCGCAATTGGAGTACTTTGGCGCAGTGGTGGGCTGCATACATCTTGGCCATTTATGTATGTCTAAATCTCCAATGTGTATTACACATATTAGTACTTAGTTATGTCTCCTTGCTTTGCCTTGTATCTCTTATTTTGTTTTATTTGTTTTGTATTTCCAGTTCATGTACAGTCCTGTCTTGTCCTGCCCCATTCATGGTTCCTATGTATTGTGTACATGTTCTGAGTTCTGTCCTTCTCTGGTTCTAGGTTCTTCTAGTCTTGTCTTGCTATCTTATTTGGTGCCTGTTCAAATCTTGCCCTTTTTATAGTACTGGATACATATCTGCTGCAGATCATCCCTATTCAGATCCTGGGAGGTCTGCATATTGTCATCTGGCACCTGGGATCCACAGAAGCTGCATCAGGGCCCTGGTATGTAACCGCACAAATGCTGGTGCTCAACACCAGGGGGCGTGCGGTTACCCTGCACCAGGCTCTGATAATCCATTTCCACACAGTGACTCCTACTATCAAGATCAGGCATACTGGGTCCCGGTCACCGGACAGCCACCCTTGACAGATACACACACACACACACACACACACACACACTCACTGATACCAACACACTCACACATATTCTCTCATACACTCACACATTATTATTTTTTTTTTGTCATTTAAATTCACCCAGCCTTCCTTTCTTTGGTAGAGCTGGAGTTGGTCATTTCCCTGAGGTCCAGTGTGAGTTCTAAAATCTTCTTGTTTTGCTCCCTAGTGCAACGTTTAGGGATCCTGGAGTGATGTTATATCTCAGCTCCCAGCATCACCGCAGAGAACAAAAGGGAGCAGTGAGTAAGAGCTGGAAGATTACAGCTCCTTCGCCACCCGCTTCCATTCTTCTTCAGCTGGCCATTGTGCCGGTCTGATTATGCAATCACTGAACCGGCTGTCAAACACCCAGGTGCCAAATTCCAAGTTGCCGTGGCGACCTGATGCCAGGGATTTGTCGAAACCCGGTTTAAAGTACAAACACAGAATATCTAGCTAAGCAGTTATAGTTATGTCAGTATGTTGTATGAAGTTTACCAGTGCATTGCCAATAAGCCATGTCACCATTTTTTTTTTAACAGATTTTCTTTGATTTGGGGGTGGGGGGAGTGGGAACAGAAAAGAAAAAAAGGGTTGTATGGGTTAATCCATGTACATTTTATGTTACATTAGGTTTTTTTTATTGACTGGTCACGGTAGAGTATGCTATAACATCTGTTTGTGCGTTTCACAACATGTCACCATAGGTTATTAGGGTATTGTCGGCCCCCACATGACCTGGCTATTGTGGGAAATATGTGTATTGCCCTTGTAGCTTATTGCTGCGGTGGGTGGGGGGCGAGGGGGTTTGGTCTGTAGCACCTTTGCCCTTCTGGTCCAACTGCATGTCACCTCTTTTGAGTGTCAGTAAGATTCTTGAAATCCATCTTGTGCAGTAGTGGACAGCTAATCTGCTAATAAATACATTTGTGTGTATATATATGTATGTATGTTTTTACATACTTGCATTCAAATATGCTAAATATATGCAATCAGACATTATTAGCAATCGCACAAATATTCCCACACGCTCACACATTCAGTCACAAACAATATGCACTCTGATTAATATACATAAATAAATTAATATTATTATTACTGGCATTTATATAGTACCAACATATTCTTCAATTGCGGTGGGGGGAGTGCAAATGCATTCACAGACACTTTACACATCTATATGCATTCAAACCCACTTTGAACATATGCATTCAAACACATATTCACATATACGCATTCCTGTGTGAAGCAATATAAAGAACAAACATGTTGTATTCATTTTTATGTAGTCTCCTGGAGAGTGTATTTATTTAAGTAGTTTTATTTCAAACCATATTGATTTGCAACAGCTGTTATATAACAAATGCTACTTCAAACCTCAGCAAATACAAAAATGTATCTTGGAAAATGTTGAAACATAAAAAATATAATGTAAGACATTTTTGACATTTTAAATAAACATAGTTCTCACAATCTACATTTTGTGGACATCTTAGTTTTAAACTTCTACTAATTTCTTTTATCAGCTGTTTCATTTACATCACACATACTCTTGTGTAACATCTACAAATGTAGCAAATATTTGACACCGAAAGAAGTAAGAATCCTTATTACAACCACAAAAACTGCATATTAGGGGTGCAGAGAGGGGGAAGGGGTTATGGCTGTCATCCAAGATGGCCGCTGTCTGAGAAACTCTGGGAAGTGAAGTGCTAAAAAGTTTTTAGAAAACCAGGAAAATCTGATTGCCTCCTACAATGATCAAGCAAAGGTAAGTTGAAAAACCGAGATCTAGCTCAAATATGAGTGAAAACCGACATCTCCTTTGGGATCTAAAATTGCCCAGGGATTAATTGCCACAACTAGGTATTGTCCCTGTAGCTGCTTCTGACTGCGCAGTATCTATTTCCCAAATGGAGGGACTTCTAACGCAGTTAAAAGTGGAGCTGTGTGCGGAGTTGAGCGAGGATCTGATCAACATTCAAACAAACCGGCTGGAAATGGCTTTCGATGAACAAGTGAGTGCACTTTCAGACCTCAAATTGAGGTCCGTACATTAGAGTCCTAAGTCACATTCGCGAATATGGACGATCGTGAAGATCAATGCAACAATATTCGTGCACAAAATGGGGCAGAATCCATATTGGCGAATGACCTAACAGATTATGTTAAAGCAGCAATTTGATCAGTTCAACTGAATTTGAGTGATTCATAAATTACAATAGATCATTGCCACAGATTTACCAAGCTAAATTTGGCCCCGAATTAGACACCAAGGGATGTTATAGCCAGACTGCATTTTTAATATGTGAAAGATGATTTTATGAGGGCTCTGAGACAAGGCAAAGAATTCCCTGGATATTTTAGGCATTTATGTATATTTTAAGACTTTCTGCTACAAAGGTAAGGAGGAGAGACTTATAAGATATTACAAGGCAATTGATGTCCAAAGGCATAAAGTATTTCTGGGCTTCCCTATAAAAATTTTGTTCTGGCATTTAGGTCAGAATTTGGCGCTTCCTACACCGGAGGAAAGAGAAGAATTTTTGCCAATTTGATAACAGATGACCATCAGAGCCCTCAGAATCCAAAACCTTCCAGTAAGTCAAGAAGAAGAGATGTCTTCACCAATTAATATTTTGTCCTGAGGAATGAATCTATAATTTAACAACTCATCTTTGTTCCTATGATTATTTTCTGTTTGGACGTTGCAATTGGAACAGTGCTGTTTATAGTCCTTTGTTTGCAACATCGAGCTACATTGGATTATTGAAATCAAGATTTCCTAGAACTGTCAAGATTTGGCTCATTTCCTTTTCTTGATATACATAACTACTCAAGTAGATATATATGAGACAGTTATGTTTTCTTTTCATCCTCTTCTTGTTTTTTTACCTTGAAAATTAAGGAGGTGACATTGATGGTCATGACAGACATTATATTGGATTCTTCATTTTATCTTTATTTTTAATTTTGTACCCTCACTCTATTTTCCTACAATGTTATAACTGACTAATTGGACAGTTCAAATGCTTGTTAAAATGTAAAAATAAATTATTTTAAATTTCACTCTCTCTGATACTTTTTCTATTTATTAATTTATAGCATGAAGCCCAACTACAATTTTTTTCTCACCCTCACACCATATAGGCCTTTTTAAATGGGTTTTATCTAAGTAAATATTTACCTTATTTTTTTTATTGGCTCCATTTAAGAGCGATTACCCAAGTTCTAATTTCCTTATTTTTTTATTTTTGTTCTTTTTATTTAAATGTTAATTTTTTTTATTGTCCTTTTTTTCCTAGGGTATCCTTTCTATTTATAGTAAAGTATAATTATGTGCACTCTGTTATACAAACTGGTTGCTAGTTAATATTCTTATGGTTTATTTTAGTGGTCTTCTTGGAAGATTTCTGGCCTTTCATCCTCCTTGTTCAATCTTTCTATACTTTATATTCTCAACTACAGATGTTGTTGTAGATCCCCTCGTCAAGCTGAAAATGGTCATGCCAGTGTAGCCCTTGTGGCCCACTAGCATTTTTGATGCCATATAATGGCCTTGAAATTAATATCATATATGTTATTAGGGATCTCAACATTCCGAGACTTTTGGCCAAGGAGATAAAGAATCAGAAAGTGGACATTGTTTGTATACAGGAGACCCACAAGAATGACCATTTTAGAAACATTATGGTTAAAAATGTTCCTATTCAATACCGTTCTACGTTTACATTTAAATCTAGAGATGTATCGCTATTTTTTAAAAAGAATGTTGCTTGTTTTACTGAAATGTGCCAAAAAGTGGCATTATCTCAGAGTGTTATTTTTTCCTAATGCCTAGGCCTACACTTAAACAGATCATATGCTGGCTTGGGAAAAAGATTTAGGATCTCAATACGACATGGGGTGTGGCCAGGGACGTATTAGCCGCGAGGCAAACAAGGCATTTGCCTTGGGCGGCATTTTTCAGGGGGCGGCAAAAAACGCCGCCCCCCAAATGCCCAGGGCAAATGCCTAGTTAGCCTTGCGGCTAACTGACATCCCAGGCGGTCGGGCGGGCGGCTGGCGAGGGAGCACTTCCTATGAGCTGACTGCTCAGCTCCCTCGCGCGCCGCACAGTGAGGCTGGGAGCCGGAAGATGACGTCATCTTCCGGCTCCCAGCCTCACTCTGCAGCCAGCGCGAGGGAGCTGAGCAGACAGCTCATAGGAAGAGCTCCCTCGCCAGCCGCCCGCCTGCCAGCGCCGCCCGCCCGACCGGCAGCCACTGGACCACCAGGGAGAGAGAGACCTCCCCCCCAGCACTCCCAAAGGTAAGGAGGTTGGGGGGGGATTTAAATAAAAAAAAAAAGTTAATCTGTGTGTGTGTCTGACTGTGTGTGACTGACTGTGTTTGTGTATGTGTGTGTGTGTGTCTGACTGTGTCTGTGTATGTGTCTGACTGTCTGTGTATGTGTCTGACTGTGTGTGTGTTTGTGTCTGTGCGTCTGTGTGAGTGTGTGTGTGTGTGTGTCTGACTGAGTGTGTGTGTCTGACTGTGTATGTGTGTGTGTGTCTGACTGTGTATGTGTGTGTGTATGTGTCTGACTGTGTGTGTGTGTGTTTGTGCCTGACTTTGTGTGTGTATGTGTGTGTGTTTGTGCCTGACTGTGTCTGTGTATGTGTGTGTGTATGACTGTGTGTGTGTGTGTATGACTGTGTGTGTGTTTGTGTCTGTGTGTGTGTTTGTGTCTGTCTGTGTGTGTGTTTGTGTCTGTCTATGTGTGTGTTTGTGTCTGACTGTGTGTGTGTTTGTGTCTGACTGTGTGTGTGTGAGTGTGTGTGTGTATGTGTCTGACTGTGTGTGTGTATGTGTCTGACTGTGTGTGTGTGTGTGTATGTGTATTTAGAAGGTGGGGCGGGGGGAAGGGTTGGGTGGGGGTGGCGCGGGGAGAGGGGGGTGCCTGAGTTTTGTCCTGCCTAGGGCAGCACAAAACCAGGATACACCACTGGGTGTGGCACAGCTTTGCTCCTGCTTTGAAAGGAATAACACGGTGCTCTATCACTGGAAAAAACACCTCAAAGAAGTCTATAGATACTACCTAGCTCCTTACAGAATGCATAAAATGAACCCATACTTTTCTGACAAATGCTGGAGGAACTATGGCCTGACTGGTACTTTATCACATATACTTTGGTATTGTCCACATTTAACAGCTTATTAGAAGGACGTACATAAATTAATCCAAAAGGTGAATCCTACTATTCTTCCTAATACAGTTGCCGGATATAATTATTTGGGATGGATACACCCCCACCACTTTTTCAGCATTTTTTCTTTTTTCCTTCTTATTCATTTGGTAAATTGTGAATTATGTCGCAGTATTTATTTTTACACAAACTGGACCATGAAAGCGATACAGGCCTTTTTTTTTTTGTTATACATATATTATATTATGTGAATATTGATTTATTTTAAATACATTTTCAAATTATTGTGTATGTTGTTGTGTAATGTGTCATTCATACATTCATTAAATTATTTTCTTTTGTAACATATTTAAAAAAATAGTTTTCAATAAATAATATTTGAAAGAAAACTGCATTTTTTTTCAAAATTCAAACCTCTTATTTATTTTACTTTGTTTATATATTTTATGTAACAATATATATTTTCTTAATAGATGCTTATTAATATAATGGAAAACAACATTGTTTTCTATAATATGCAATTGTAATGTAAACCTCTTTCCTGCCCCTATTTTTTTCCCACTTTTTTTCTTTCTCCGCTGTCTATTCAAAAATTCTCAGTATATTTCAATTCCTGCCATAGATAGGCCATGTATCCAATTTCTCCTTGCAACATTCACAATGCACTAAGCCATGTATGTATGTAGTGGGGAATCGCGATGCAGCCTAGAACAAAAACTAACCCCCCAATAACGACAGACCACTTAGTATGGATGAAACAGGCCACAGCATTTATTATCACAAACTAAATTACTGCATAACACATCCATAACTTTATTTATTAAATCTCTTCTTTTTCTGTAACCAAAAACGTTAGACATAAATAAGCATAAATTACTCCACACAGTGTTAGACAGTGACCCAACCGTCCTTGCCAATAAACATACAGTGGTTCATAATCACCACTTCCTCTCACCTCCCCCCTTGTCATAAAAATCATATCTTTCCAATGCCCGCCATCAGCCGACCTTATCCATGCTCGATGGGCACAACACCTCAGACAACCTAATGTTAACCATTTGAAGCAGGGGAGGTTGAGACCTTAAAAACTTTTCATCTCATTACATATACTTAAACGTAAACCCTTAAACTCAATTGGCAAGGACATACCCCCGCCACAAACCTGTTTTACACCTAAAATCAGCGGGGGGACCCCACCACAACCAGCCATGGCCTGTTCCACCACTTCTTGCAGCACTAGATTAACATAGGCCTAGTCCGACCTCCAGCAAGCGCACCCAAACCCCCCATGTATCTGGCACCAGACCACTGAACCTCCGCTCCCGAAGGCATAAGATCCAACCACTCGCGCCCCACCTCCTGCCCCAAATGACATATTCCGGAGGGGGAGGGGTGGAGGAGACCGTATCCATGGAGAGAAATCCATTTGGAGACCAGCAGGGTGAACCCAAGGAACCACCCTGATCCCCACCATTCAAGCTCCTTGAACCAGTGGCACAAGCACGCCCAGCCAGGCAGCATCTGTAGCTGCCCCTAACCGGACTGAATGCCCCCTGAACTCTCCACCATCCTTACCCAGGAATTCTAGCCCTAATTGGAGCACCCCAACGACATGGATGCAGGCGAGAAAACCCAGCTTCGAGAACCAAACAAGGGGAGAGGAGGCCGAATAACCCAGGGGCGGAATAGCCCTCACCGAAGGAAAACAGGACACATGTCGGAACCCGGCGCTCCCCCCAATTGGAACGGTATATTTCCAACTATCCCGGGAACCTAGTACATCCTGTTAGGAGCCTGACCATTACCCTGTGCATTCCATCTACCTCAAGAGAAAGCAGAAAGGGCCCGGTTATGTCAACCCCGCAACATCCAAGAATGGAACAGATTATATTGATGAATCAGCCAACCGCTACCAACTTACCTTTCCCAAATACAACAGCCGTCGAGTGGCGAAAGCCTGCAGTCCATTCCGATGCTTACTCGATCCACCAAAACCCCTTCCCACTTGCAGATGACCGTAACATGAAGGAGAAGCCGCCAAGGAAATGCTCTACTTCCAGCCCGGCTTTCTCAGCCTTTAATGTAGCGGGCCGCACACCGCCTCAGAGCGACCCATGGACCAGCTTCATCAGCCGCTAGACCAAGCGACCATGACTCCACCGCCTTATAATTTGGCCCCGCGGTGCCACCGTCCGACGTTCGTCCTACGGTGATCAAGATAGAGCACCTACCATTACCTTGTGAACCTCCTGGGAAAACCCTGCCTGATCAGATACTTCCAGACTCAAACACCGCCAAGCTAGGCGCTGCAACCAGAGTACCCTCCGGGGTAAAGGGCACTGTCACATGATATAGACAGCCTGCACCACCTCACGATTGTATCACTGGAAGAACTACCCACCCGTCTGTGAGCTGGATACCCCACGCCTATCATGCAACCTGAATGG